TGAGCTGCTTCATTAATCATTCTAATAAACAGTGAGTGCATGCATGCAGCTGCATGACAGTAAGTCAGATGCTTTCATCAGCAGCAAGTTATTTACACATAGACTTACATAGATTGGATAAAAAAAGACAAGACTAATAAGTGACAGAAGTGAATCTGTTGTTAAGAGAGCGTGTCCATTTAACATCACCTCATTTATAATTAAATAATCAGTTGCCTCTGTGGCACTTTGATGTTTTAACTTTGATGCTTTTACTTTGCTGTCTCTGCTGAAGTGAGGATGGCATTAAAAATATGGTCATAAAGAGCAACAACATCAAAAAGACGCCGTTTTGGTGAAAAGACTCTGCCAAAGTCAACGCCTTTAAGCCGATACAGGCAATTTATTAAAGTATATTGTTGAAATTCTCTTTACGTCCCGACAGCAATAAATAAATAAAATGCTCTGAAACAAAGATTAAAAGAATCCGTGGCTGTCGCAGGACTGTAATAAGCAGCGCTTATTATGTCTGTCTCCCTACCTGTGCACTCACTGCACATGAACATGTGTTTTGGGGGAGTGGCTTTGAGGCCCCATGCACACTACTGCGTTTTCAAATTAAAACGGAGACCATTTGCTACGTTTGCACCTCCAGTCCAGACTAAAACAGTGAAAACGAAGACCTAAAACGTCGAGAAGTTTGGAAGCGCTTCCAACCCCGTTTTCCGTTTTGAAACCCTGGAGGGCATTTTAGTGAAGACGGGCCACAACGGAGGACCGATGCCACTCACGCTCAGCTCTCTGATTGGGTCTTATAAGTCATGCAAAGCAGAAACACGATGAGTTTTAGTTTTGGTATTTTTATTAAAATATTCTGTACCGTGTATATCTGCCTACACTTGTAGGCTTCTGTGCATGTCGCCGTTTACTTTGCAACGACTCCCAGTCTGTTTTCCGCCGCCACACTCTCGTGTTACATTCAGCAACAGTCCCAGCTCATTATTGGTGCATGCAAAAAAAAAAAAATTTGGTCTGATTCTTTGCCTGCATTTCTTTACTCTTTCACCAAATCTTCTGTAACTACGGAAGAGACCATCTGCTTCATGTTTACACCAGCACGCGCATGCCCAGTGTACCTGAATGGCTAAGATAACGAATGATAACGGTAACCATTTTAAGTGACATCTTAACAGTTAGATTCATTTACAGTTACATCTTCACGCTACGTTGTAATAAAACGTTGTAAGTTCTAACCTGTATGGTGAAACCTGAGTTTACTAACTAACAGTGTAACAGCCACACTACCTTCCAACTAACCTAAATTTAAACTTACATTTGGTGTATTAGCTTGCAGCTAATGTGAGAAAGGAGGTGACCCTCTGTACATACATACATGGCGGCCTAAGAAAGGTTTGTAGTTAGCAGTTTCAAACAGGATGTCCTTCTGCACCCGTATATGAGGTATGTGTCAGGAAAACCTGACACATCACACCTCCTGACAGTGCTGGCAGCGATGATCTTTCATGTCTGAGAGCGTTTTGCTTGAACCTACAGAAATAATAATCAGTCATTATGTTTGCCTTCGACAGCAACGGACAACCACTGGAACTAATGCCGTCTCTCGGGAGACTCCTGCCTTTTCTCACAAAAACAAATGAATGCAAGAATGCACACAGAGGTTTGATACAGGCATCTGGCGTCTGTAATGAAGCTGAACAATTGGAGAATGATGTGAATAACATTCGCAGTCATTCGGTAAGGTTTCAGCAAATGAGCGAAGAAATCCCTTCAATTAAGCTTCCACGGGTTACGTTAATTGGGGAAAACTGACTTCATTTATTTCTCACCCAAATTAGACCTGCCCTTCCTGCTAATATGCAACACGTGAGGGACAGTACACAGTTTGACATATGAAATGTATTATGAAAGTTTTTCGTTTTCAGGGTAGTGTTAATTTCTACTGCACAGAGCACAAAAAATTTAATCTCTTTGATCAGTCTTAATGGAGAGCTCCGAGTCACTACAAATGTTGATACGTTTATCTAGTTCATCTTATCACCATGCGTACCCTTAACCAGCAGCATTGAGTTCTTTATCTTGCTGCCCTGGGTTTTGCTTGTCAGCTCTGCAGCCTGACCTGCAGATACTAGTGCCAAAATTGAACATCAATCAAAGACTAGACCGTAAAAGCACTATTATTTATCAGTTTCAGGTCTGTATCAGTTAATCTAAATGTTATTTTTAGTAGGGTTCAGCCATTATAATAGTGACATAATCATGACAGGCACACTAAGTTTTTATTAAATGAATAAATGCAACAAAACATGAGGAGTCTGTATTTTAATTAATTGTATTATGTTTTTAAACCTTCATTCCACCCACTTCTGACCACAAACCTTTGCTTTTGAGTGGAGATTAGACTTTTTTTTCCAGTTGCAGTATTCCTCCAGCTGCAGTATATTACAACCAGCAAATGGCTCCCACAGCGGCCCCATCACTCTTTATTATCCTCTCCTCTTCCGCCATCACTCAGTGAGAATTTCTTCTCTCCTGGCTCCAGGTTTCTTTATGTGCGCTGTCTATTTTTCCTCTGGCCTGTCTCACACTGGAGGGTGTTTGATTCTCTCAGCTTCAGTCAGAAAAAACCCAGGCCCCTCGGGGGGGACACATCTGCGGGGGCCACACTTCACAGAACATTGTCTTCCAGAAACCTCTCCCGATACAGGCTCACACATTCTGCACAAACACCAGTGCACTCGCTGTTATTCCTCATCAATAATGTAAACACAATCACTGAACAAGGTTTATGACACATTGATATCAAATATTTATAGCCTGCTGTTGCACATGACGGCTGCTTGACAAACATTTCCATGTGTACTTGATTCTAGATTCTACTTCCTATTTACTTCTTTTTGGATTTGGTGAAAAAGAGTAGAGTGACATGCACCAAAAGTCTGTGACTAGAATCAGACGGAGGACAACTGCAAATTATATATGGAATGCGTCTAGACAAGTGCTGCTAAATCGTATTTTCATGGTCATCACAATTTGAACATGCACGATAAAAACATCACAAAAACTGCCTGAAACACGATGAAGGGGAGGAGAGTTGTTTAGGAATGAGCGAGTACACCGCTATCTGTATCTGTATAATGATGATAAGGAGGACGAGCATGGGTCAGTTCTTGACTACTTCCTAAAGTGGTCTGAGAAGTCGAGCCTCCTCCTAAACACAAAACAAAAGAAATGTCCACTGATTTTAGAAAGTTGCAATCATCTAATTCTACTTTTATTAATGGGGAGCCTAAAGAATCTGTCACAAATTACAAATACCTTGGCATTGTGCTCGACCATAAGCTTAAATGGGATCTGTGGTCTGACCTCATAAGCACTAAGACACAAAAAAGAATGTACTTTTTAAAGAAACTGTCATCTTTTAATGTCCACAACAAAATGCTTCAGATGTTTTATTCAAAGTGTTTTGGCCTTTTGCATCATTTACTGGATTGGCAATGCTACTGAGGCACAGAAAAGGTCTGTAACAGTAACAACGGCCAGTAAACTATTAGTGATTAAGTTACCAAGTATAGAATGTATCTATAGAGGGTATGTGTTGATGTCACTTCCCCTTTCTGGAACATGCTGGACAGAGTGGCAAAACATCTGTTACCATGGCTACGTTTAGCAAACCGGGAATAAAACAAGTGATTATTTGCTCTAATTAAAGGTAGTCAGGCTCGACAGTGATCCTAACTTCTTACCAAAGAACCAGTGGTCCAGCTCTTTCCCATTTTAGATGTGTTGTTTGTGTTTTAGCTGATTCAAGCTAATACTGCTGCTCGGCTTTACCTGCCACCCAGTGAGCGTACTGCGTTCTGTGACATCATGCGCATACCCTCTATAGGGAAAGAATGATGAACAAGGCAAGAGACATTGTGGGAGACAAGAGGCTCCTTCCCCCTTGCCCCTTCATTTTAACGGTCGCCCTCTGAGCGACGATATTGCCCCCCTCTATTTACCAAAAATAGATCAAAATCTTCATTTATGCCTCAAGCAATTAAGTTTTTCAACAGGTAAGGCACATATTTAGCCAAATAGGCAGGATACCCAGCTTGTCTGGGCTGCCTAATTTAATCGGTAGCAAGGTGTGGAGTATGGTAATTATGTGCATTAGTATGTTTATTATCTCTGTGCCATATGTAATGCCTACTTGATTGTGCTGCAAACTAATTTTAATCCCTAATAGTTTACAAATAAAGATTGATCGATTGATTGAATTGAGCGTCAGAGCAGTGTTATGGATTACAAAAGTTTAATTTTATATTTACAGGTTATTGGCAAACAGATATTGACACATGTTACTTGTAAAAAGTATATTGTCTGTAACGTATACTGTATACCTGTTTCAACCGAGTACTTGCTCAACCCTATTAAACGGGCCCCGGGGCTTAAGACCGCAGTGTTTATCACAGAGGCTGCGGTGGGAACAGTGAAGTGAAGATAACACTATTACTGGAGTTGACGACAGCTACGCTCGTTACTGTAAGTATGTGCAATAAAACCTTTGAGAGTAAAATACCAATATTTCATCAATACACCTGTTTAGGGCTGGGCGATATGGGCAAAAATGTTACCAGGACAGAAAATCTCATTCGATGCCGATAATTTTCACAATAAATGTCAAATCATTATTTCTTTCAAGTTTAATGGCTGATGAATGAAAGTCAAAGAAACAAGATGGTTAATTGTGGTTTTAAACTTTTCTTTCTGGTCAGAACAAACACTTCATGCCAAACAGTAGATCATTTCACAAATCTGAGGTAGAACATTAAAAAAAAATCTTTCTACAAAAAATGCATGAGTAAAATCAATTACTGCAGCCTGAAATGTTTTTTCAGTCCCTTTTCCTCAACAAAAACATTTTTTAATAGATAAATTTAATGCTAATTTGTTCATAATTCAAATGAATTAAATCAAACATTTGTTATATTGTTAGTGAGGAGAATTCTATCGCGATAGTTTTTTAGTTTTTTTTATTGCGCAGTCCTACAGCTGTTTAACTAGCATAAACATGTAAAAAGTGATATTTCAATCTGCTCTGTCCATAAACAAGTTACAGCAAATGCTCCCTGTCTGCAGTCTAACTGTTTAGCTTAGTTTGCCACAAATCTTAAAATTTTGCGCTTTGTTGTAAACCCGAGCAGCCGCTCCTCTCTACCAGCTAACGCTACCTGCAGGCAGTGAATCACAGTAGCAGAGGGAGGAGGAGGAGGACAAGAGGAAGGACAGATGTTTGACTCTTCATTCTTTCTAAACGTCACTCTAAACGCATTTTGATGTCAGGAATCAGATTTTTTTATTGACATATTAAATTTGTTTCCCCTGAGATATTGTTGACTTTACTGTTGCTGTTTGTTTAAAATATCCAATTATAGTCCTGTAAGTTAAAGACATCCGGGCAGCTAATATGCACACTTCAATGTTTGTTTATTTATCACAAGTCATATCGTCATCCGGTAGTGAACAATGTTTTCGCACGTCGCAGATATTCTTTATATCATGCAGGCCTAGTCTAGACTTCCTGGACTCGTTATCACAACATCTGCCTTCTTTCAAAAGAAAAATCTGTCGACTAGAAAACACTTTCATGACTTAAATCCACAGTAGCGCTTGCCACGTTTCCATCTCCCGACTGTCCCGCCTTCTGAGTTGCACTTTCCGCAGATTGTCCAGGGCTTTTCTGGTTGCACCTTAAAAGTCTGCGTGTTTGATGACGGAAGGTCTTGTCTAACAGGAAGAACATCAAAGGGTCCGTTGAACCTCTGACTGCAGCCAGAAGCAAAAAGGAGTTCTTCAGCTAGAGGAAGAGGACAAAGAAACTTGTCGTCATGTGTTCTGTGTAGCCCGCAATCTGCTGTAAATCAGTAAAGTCGTGAAGAATAATATTTATTCGCTTTAAGGTTACATTTACTCACCTCAACAAAGGTGGAGAGCGGGTGACAGTTGTTGGTTCCAGGTGAAAATGTCAGCTGACGTTGATCATTGGCGAGAGAAATGAAGATGGGTTTGAAGATATGGTATGGCAGCAGACAAACTGAAAAAACAACCTGTGGAGAATTTGTTAAAATAGACTGACAGTCCTGGCTGGTATTATCAGAAGCCCAGTGAAATATGGATGATGCTGGTTTTATGAAATGGATTAATGTATTTTAGAGTAATATAACTTATAGCCACCTGAATGACCACAATGTTTCGAAGCACCCTACCCAGCAGGCCCTGGGAGGTCGTGACTTTTGTGTTGCGACGTGAGCGTCTGATGTGCCTCAACACTGTCATGTAGGCCAGCAGCACCAGCAGGTAAAACACAAAGAATATGGTTATGACGGGCACGGCAAAAGCTGCTGACAGACCGCCCCCTATTTCCACCGCAGGGTTGTAGCAAACCTCCACACAGCCTCCTATCTCAGCGTCTCCACCCCTGCCAGCTTCGTTCACCGAGTAGTAGACTGTCACTGGCACAATGCCCCCAACCGCCACCACCCACACTGTGAAACACACCCTGTTGGCAAAGGAGGTCCTTGTGAGAGAGGTGAAGAAGCTGTGCGGCAGCAGTGTTGTGCAGGCACTCGGCCTGGAGGCGTGGGTGTGCCGGATGAGGGCTGCAAAGCGACTGAAGGCCACCCAAGTGAGGATCATGAGGCTTATGTAGATGTTAATGTGGAGCACTGGGGTGATGCCGTGCAGCACCAGCTGACACAGGGTGCTGCTCATTGTCCAGTCTGAGCCCCAGGCGTAGTAGGCTGCGAGGAAGGGAGTGGTGAGGGACAACATAAGGTTGGAGGTGCTCAGGTGGGACAGATAAATGTGGATGGGGGACATGGAGGAGATGCGCCGCAGGAACACCCACAAAGACAGCGCATTTCCCGGGAGAGAGGTAAGGAAGAGGACCGTGTAGACGGAGGGGAGGAAGAAGAGCGTGGCCGCGGAGGGGCAGAGGGACAGATCAGAGCAGGAGGTGTTATCCGGTGGGAAAGTGTACGGTGTATTCTCCATCTGATCTGTAGGAATACACCAGTGATGGGACAGCAGACAGAGAAGTTACACTCCAACACAGAAACATGTCAAGTGTCTGTACCTCACTTCCTATCCTGAGGTCAACAACCGTTTCCATTCTTGCTTCTGATGTACATAACATACATTTTTCAAAAAAAGTAATTTCTTAAAATCAATTCTCATTGTGCTTACATAAACACAAATGAAAAGAAAACCTTCAACATATTTCAGCATTTCAGAATTTAGATTTTTATGTTTTAAAAATTTTTTTATTCATTGCCTAATCACACTCGCACTGAGATTTATAATAAATGTTTCTGTTCACACTGACCATACTCCCCAGCTGTATATTCTGTCTTGTTTAGGATTGCTGCTCTCGTTATTCTTTACTTGTTTTCTTCTTACATTCTGAGTATCTTTATATTGTACATTTTAATTCCTACTGCTTAGCTGTCTCTAGCCAAGGTTGTCTCTTTTCTGGATGTTATTCAGTGCATAGGACAAATAAAATGACTTTGATTTTTTTATAATGTTTAAATGTAATAAAAAGCACAGTTGGTAGAGCAGGATGTCACTAATTATAATCATCCCTCGCTCCTCCTATTCTTCAGTGTTTTTGAGAAAGAGACTCTGAACCTCTAATTGCTCCTTTTAGTTATGTGTTATGTAATATTTTAAGTCAAACTTTAAGTTAACTTTAAGAAGTCATTATTTCACTTACATTACAAAGATGACCTGTAACTTTTGGCAATTGAGAGTTAATTTACAAACATGCATCACACAGAGATGTTCATGTTCCTGTTATACGTACCACAGACAGCAGCTCTGACGAGATCATTCAAAGGCATCAACAGCAGCTCCCTCAAAATAAAATAATCACAAATGAAGCTAGAAACAATGGGGAACACCAGGCTCAGTCGCTCAAAGCTGCTCTCTAACTTCCTTCTTCTCAAACTAAAAGCTTAAACATTTCCCAGCTGGTCTCTTGTTTGTGGGTGTGGTGCTCACACATATTCTGTATCTTTATTCCACTTCCTTAATTACCATATTTGACAGACGTAGGAAATGAATGTTGTGTACAGCTTGAGAATGGAAAATGAAGGTAAGAGGTTCAGATACTACATACTTATCTATTTATGTGTATGTATAAGCCCTACATGAAATGTGGTGCATGTCGACAGCAGTGCATTAAATCCACCGTATGGCTCCCATAATATTCCCTTAGTTTATCCCCTTAAGTTCCTCAATATAACAGTGGTCGTATCCATGCAGAAGAGATTCTTAGTGATCTACTTGATGTTCAAATGTCTTAACACTGTATTTATTCCACCTTAGGGTGGCGCTGCTGCTCTATTTCTAGCTGAAAAGCAAAGAGAGTTTGGTTTTCTCTCTTTCCTCTCATCATATGGTTGAATGTATATTGGTTGACACACATAACTGTTTAAAATTTCATGTATAACAAAAACCTAGCACACTGGTATGTGCAGTCAAGATGCTGTTTAATGTCTTGCCACAGTAGGAGTACATGGCTATTACATGTCAGAAAAGCTCTGACATTCTCAAACAGTGGTATTTTATCAGTGATTTCATCTCAGGAAACTCTCATCTGGCTTCTCTGTAAGCTTGTGCTCATTATCATAATTTATCATGAAAGTTCAGGCTTTGATGTAGTCTACAAATTTATCGTCTTCCTTTCTTTCGAGTTTGTCTATAGGGCTCACATTGTGTTTTGCACACTGATCATCTGTAGGGTCACACATTAGTCCATTATCTTTATTTCAGCACTACCTGGTCACAGATTTAAAGAACAAAAAACAACAAAAAAACTCCAGATCTTTAATTATTGTGGTTGCAGGTTGCAGTTCTAGATGTTGTTCGGGTATCACTGGTTAACCTACATTAATACACTGGCAAATATGTAAACTAACTGTTGCTTGACTGCACAAAAAACAATCAAGCTCAGTGTTTGTCCTGGAACTGAAATGATTAATCGATTAGTCAATCAGCAGAAACATTAATCGTCAACAATTTTGTGTTGATCTACATGACAAATGTTTGTACAGATGTTCCTGCCGCTCAGATGACTTTGTTGATCCCTAGGCTTTTCATCCCTCGAGCGCCATCATCAGGTCAAAGTTTCAGTTTGTCTGTCCAAATACCTGCAAAACATTCCCATCAGCCTCAGCTGTACTTTGTGTTGAATGGGTGAAAGGTACAGAGCTTAGGGCTTGACTAAAAGCAGTCACTAGCAGCGTATTTGAAGCCTACTGTTGCTTCTTAATAAATGAGCTCCGCTACTAAAATTCAGATCATTAATGATTTTCAGCACGGTAACACTGAACGCATGGCTGTCTCCCTCTCCTCATTCTTCAAAGGACGAGCGAATGTGAGACAGAGATCAGCATGAAGTTGTCCTGTCCTGTACATCTTGATAGTTACATCAAATTGTAAAGAAAGGACGGTGGTGACCACGGAGGAGCTGAGGTTAATGTTAAAACCAATTAGGGATGCAAACTAGTCCTTTTAAGGTAATGAGGAGATTCTTCTTTTTGATTTTGATGTACAAATGAAATGCTTCTTACAATACAGAAGGGAGGCGGTTCTCATGTTGCCTATGTTTTTATGTTAATTTCTACAAATGTACAAAGCAGTAAATTAAGACACAAAAGGCAAACATGAACAATGGTAATGATTCTGAGGTCATATTAACAGTTTTTTCCTGCCGTTATAAGGTGGTGAGGCTTAAAACAGCTCGGTGCTGCTCCATGAATGTAAAATCATTGTGGAGAGCATCAAAACTTTCCCCAGATCTTATCTTTATAATTCAAACCCAGTAGATTTACTTAGCAAGTTTAGCTTTTGGGCTGTAGTTAATTAAAAATCTGCTCTAGATTTTCCTACTTTTCATTCATAGATGTGGTAATAACAATGTTCCAAAATTATGTGGAATTGCATATTTCTTTATTGGAAAATGTAAACATTTTCTTGGGGGATGACCCCCAAACCTCCAACACAAAAATACCATCTTAATTGTTTTCCCCTGTGAAAACATGGAAATGAAACGCACCTTTACCTCTGGACTCTCACTGCAAACACAACAGCTTTCCCCACCTCTCTCCGTCTCTCTCTCCCTGTCTTCTCCCTTGAGTTTCTCCATCAGCAGTAAGTAATGTTTTATAAAGTCGCCGAAAAGACACAGAACTCGTCTTTTTCCACCTGCGATCCTTTTTCACGGCAGCAGGTGCACCCATGCCAGCTTGTTAATTACGTAGCTTATCAGTGCCATCGTTCATCCCGGTGTTTCATTGTTGACATCGTCCAATGGCAATTTTGTAGAAATCATCCAACCCTAATTTGAATAGCCTGCAAGTAAGTTTGTGACTGCATTTCCTTTGTACGTTTCTTTTTTTGATGTTGATGAGGTCTTAAATTTCATTCATAGTGGTCTTAAAAAGGCCTTAAAGACTTAAATTTGACTAGGTGAAACCTGCAGGAACCCTGTTAATATTATACCTGCTAAACATCTACATCATAGTGTTGACATTGTGAGTATGTGACTCTTAGCCTTGATCACTGTTTTCTGACATTCTCTGGGCTGCAACTAAGGATTATTTATAAATAACCTGCCGATTATTTTCTCGATTAGTTGTTAGGTCCAGAAAATTCAGTGTTTCCCACAGCCCAAGGTGACGTCCTCAAATGTCCTCTTTTGTCTGCGACCCAAATATATTCAGTTAATGTCCCAGTAGAGCAAAAGAAAGAGAAAATATTCACATTTAAGAAGCTGAAATCAAAGAGGTTTTTTCTTTAATAAAGGACTCAAAGCGATTAATTGAATATCAAAATAGTTGCGGATTGATTTAATTGTTGACAACTAATCGAATAATCAACTAATTGCTGCAGCTCTTCTCTGGGCTGAACAGTTAATCAAAAAAGACAGATTATTCACAATGAAAATTATGGTTTTTTTATGTTTTGTGTGAAATCTCAGTACTAGTTTAAGTGTGAATTATGTGAAAGGGCCATATTTTTCACTTTGTTAAACAAAATATATATATATATACTTGAGACATCATAAACTCCCTCCCATAGCACTTGTTAGTTTGTTGTAAATGACCTCGTACAGTGCGTTCATATTCCTGTTTGTGACGGGTCACTTGAGGTTTTCCCTGTCCGCTGAATGCTGTTTTGTGCTATCTCAGAGTTTACTCTGAGTTTCTGTCGCTACCTCGTCCAGCTGTTGGGATCTTGATGATGAAATTATGTCTCTGCAAAATCAAATGCCAAGAGTTATACATATACCAGAGCCCTAGGTTTCCTGCAACCTTCTTTTTATAGCTACTGAAGTATGAAGCCATACAAAAACTGGGTTTTTATTTCAGTTACAGTACAGGGTGAAACTCGACCTTCATCCCATCCTGCTGATGTTATCATCTGTACCGTTCACAACAATTAACATAGCCCGTTTTAGCGACGAAACGTCTTCCAGTATCTTCAACCAAGTCCAGTTGCCCTTGATTTTAACCTTCGTTGGATAACTATGACCTGGATGACTGAGAATCTTCATAGACATCATAAATATTGTTTACTTGCTCCGACAAGTAAACAATATGTAAGTATAATTAAGGATACGTTCATTAAAGGTCCAGTGTGTAATATTTAGGAGGATCTATTGACAGAAAAAACAATATAATATCCATAACTATGTTTTCCGTGGTGTATAAAGACCTTACGTAATGAATCGTTATGTTTTTAATACCTATAGAATGAGTCATTTCTGTCTACATACATCTACATCTTGCATGGAAGTCGCTATGTTGCACCACCATGTTTCTACAGTAGCCCAAATGGACAAATGGAGGCCCACATGTATTATTTAGCACAAGAGCCAACAGAGCGTGTCGGCCACTGTAGATTCTCCTGCAGGCTTGCAAAGGGAGGGGGGAGTGGTGATGGAATAATGTTTTTTTTTTTCCTTAAATCTTTATTGCAAAAGAGGAATAAAGTGTACATGGGACATAAAGAAGTATACAGAACAGTAAACAAATATAAGAAGACACAAATAATAAAACTTTTCCAGGGTTAGTCCATATTAAATAAAGAAATTAAAAGTGGACCTTATGATGACAGTTTTCATAGCCTTTTGTTATTGGATTTAGAAATTAAAATGAGATATTGTAATGTAATTGATGTAATAATTTGACTCCTGAATTTACATTTATTATTGTGGAATTTTTTGATTTGACTTTTAGAAAAGCAAAATACCACATTCTCCCACATCAATGCAAAATCTTTAAAATATGGTCAATGACGAATCTGCTGAAGTTAAGTTTAAGGAAATGTTGGTACAGGAGTTGTTGATGTCATACATGTAGAAACATGGCGGGCAACATGGAGTTGTTTACATGCTCTGATAATGTTAAACCAACACATCTTTGTAGAAGTGTCCATGTTGATTCCACATTCTGACTTAAAGGTTCAGTGTGTAATATTTCTGAGGATCTATCTACAGAAAGTGGGTCAGTGGTAGACTGGACAGTTGGTTACAATTCACAACTCTCACCACTAGATGCCACTAAAACTTTCACACTTAAACTTGAAGTTTGTTCCTGCATGGTTTTCCTTGGTTGATCCAACCTCCTCTCCTTGCCTGTCATGTTCATGTTGTAAACGATGGAGGCTTATTGTCTCAGAATACCTTTAGAGTTCATCTGAGCTGTCCTTCAAATGGCTGAATAAGTTCTTGTGTGCCTGTCCTCTGACAGTCGTCCCAGGCTTACTGTCCCACTCGGCACTGGAGCTGCTCCCGCTGACTGCAGGAATATCTCGCACACAAAACACGTTGCTCACCAAGCGCAGCACCTCCTTCCTCACTGACGAGGACAACAGGAAGTACATAACGGGATCCAGGCAGCTGTTGAGGGCGGAAAATACCAAAGCCACCTCGTTGGTTTTGTCAGCCAAATTCTGCCAGAAACATAAAGTGTCTGTGATCTGGGTTTTTATGTAAAACACCCTGACCGTGTGATAGGGGACAAAACAGACGGTGAAGACAAAGAGGATGAAGAAGGACTTCTTGGCCGTTCGAGCGTAGTGGGCTGCGTTGGGCAGGTCTGGTTTTTCTTTGGATGTTTTCAGAAGCTTGAGGGCAATCTTTCCGTAAGACACCACCAGACAGATGAAAATGAGCCAGAAGAGAACCAGTACGAAGATGTTGATGTAGGCTCTCCACTTTTCATCATGGAGCTGCTTGTAATGGAAACACCTGGAATCAATCGTACATGTCAGCTTGTCAGCTGCTCATATCACACATGCTGGGATTTCTGACCAAAACAGGAAGATTCAATAAATAGATAAGAACATTTGATTATAGGCGTCACCAACCTTTTCGTCTTGGCGTGATTCTTCGACATCAGGAGTGGCAAGGCCAGGGCAGAGGACACAATCCAGAGGACTGCACAGAGGGCTTTACTCCACCTTGTAGACCGCAGTCTGTGCTGCCCCCCTGCACCACGATGGATCTTCAGGTAGCGATCCACGCTGATCAACCCCAGCAGCGTGACACTGATATACATGTTCATGTAGAAGAGGGTACCCACGACTTTACACAAGATGGGATCTAAGTTCCACTGGTTACCCTGGCTGTGATAGAGAATCCTGAATGGCAGACATACCACCAGCAGCAGGTCTGCGAAAGCTGTGTTTATGAGAAAAACCCGCACAGAGTTCTTCTTAGAGTGAACACAGAAGAAAACCCAAAGGGCCACCAGGTTCCCCACTAAACCCAGGATGAAGATTATGGAGTAGAGCACCGCCAACAGGCTTTGCAGTGCATCATCGTCTGTACAATTGTTTGTGGCGTCAGGGATCGTGGTCAAGTTCATCTCTGTGGTATTTCTGGTGATGAGAAAAAGGGCGCTGTTTGTAGTCCGGAAGGTGGTTGGGGCAGGGGTGGTAGAGATGTTTTTCATCATGGTGGTTTAAATGCTTCTCCGCCCTGCAAATGGGAAGGAAACAAAGGTGAAATGGATTAACTGAAGTGTGTTAGGGGAGGTTTTTCTTAGCTTCACACTGGGAAGTTTTGGACCCGTTAGTGCAGGTTTGTGCAATAGCTGAGGTCCAGCTGCATGGATTAGCCCTGAATAAGCATTAATCCAACCCCTCAATAATCACGTAGGACACTAGCTGACCACCACACCAACAGAAATTAGAAAGTCCCAGGAAGAACAGCATTTCTAACTGTGCACAGGTTAACACATCTGAGCTTTCTATGTGATATCATCTATGAGTTATGTAACGCACCCAACCAGTTAAAACAGCTCAAGGTACATGCTCAGACAGCTCACTGCCTGGAGTTCATATCAAAAGATCACTTAATGAAGAAGTGGTAAAAGTAGACGGATAACATCTTGCTTTTGCTTAAGTGTAACTTGTTAAAGTACAGTCAAAAGTGCAATCAAAAAATTTTTGCTCTTGTTTCTTGTTGCCTGTGCGGGAGAAGAGGGTAAACTCACAGAATAGTAGCTCTGCAGTCCTTTTCTTTTCCTCTGAGGAACACCAGTATATTCCCTTGAGTTTAAACTGCACTAAAGACTATCCAAAATGCGCTGTCCTGAAAAGACTCATAAAGTTCAGCATCCTTTCTTTCTGTCATTGTTGACTCAACTTTCTGCCGTTGTTGTGTAGAGTCTGCTTTTTTCTTCTGTTTCCTCTCTGCCCTTTATCTCTGCGCGTATGAGAAGCCTCCCCAGCGCCTCTGTTGAAAGTTAAGAGAGAAATGCTGAAGTGCAGAATCTGTTGATGTTGTAGAGAGAAAGCTTGTAGCTCTGTGGTCAACCCCCTCTTCTCTTACAGCTACTATGCTAAACTCTTAACAGAGAGAGTAAAACTGGGCAGGGCTTAGTACAGACCTTCTGATTACACACATGAGGGCAAGCAGTAGGATCACAGAGCATGCTCCGCTTGTATATACACAAGAAGCTTTGCACTCTGGGCTCTGATTATATATTTTTATATATATATAAAAAGGTTCCCAAAATACCACTATATGTCCTCACAGTAATTAAAGCAATGCCTTCAGAGTAAAGCCAAGGTTTAAATTGCCACCCAAGAGACGCCAAGAGACATTAGCTGCTGTCAACCTGTCTGGCTAAATAAATGTAGGCAAAGGGTCATGGGAATCATATACCTGCTCTTGAATGTTAATCATACCACATATCACATTATGAAATGATCCGTACCTTTCTAGTCTTTTCGACCACTCAAAGCGCTTTTACACTACATCTGCATTCACCAGTCACACACATTCATACACTGAGCCTAAGTGCTCAAACGGAAACTAACACACTCATTTCACATTCACACTCACTCATACACTGGCGGAACAGCCAGTATCTTGCCCAAGGACACTTCGACACTCAACCAGGGGGAGCCAGGGATTGAACCGCCGACCTTCCAATTAACAGCCAACCCGCTCTACCTCCTGAGCCACAGCCGCCCCCGAAACCCTGCATCAGAGCAGAAGCATTACTAAGTCAGTGTTCAGTCAGATTTAAACATGAAGTTAATTTACCAGCCTAGAAGGTTTCAAATCTGTGTTTTTAATGTCTCCTGCCCACTTGTACTCTTTTTATTCGACAACTTTATGCATTTATAAGAGTTAAAAAAGGATATACATAGAATGGACTGAGTGCTAATATATGACTTTTTGTAGTACAACATGCTAAAACTTTCCATAAACTGAGCAGCCAGCAGTTCTACAGAAACGTGGACAGGTGGAGGTACATTTTCATGAAAACCAGCCCACTCCACCTGCAGAGTGACGCAATCAGTGTCAGGCACACTGTTAAACTTAACTTCCCAGTGCAATTCTTTGGAGAGGCCTGGGAAGTTAAGTTTAACAACACACACACATACTGGTGTACAAGCAAAGACATGTACTGAAGCTTGAGAAACCACATAACCACTGATGTTGTACGTGAAATGAGCAGTGAGGAGTTCCAAAGAAGCAGAGAGGATGTAAAACTGCCGGAAAACCACAAAGATCACAGCTGAGCTACTTGATCCTGGGAAAATAAATATTGATAAATGGAATCTCAGGAAAAATGTGACATTGCGACATTTAACTTCTACTTAAGACGCTGGTTCCTCTCTCAGGATCCTCCTACAGTGTGGGTTGCTTGTGTGTGGTCGTGTTGGGTGATGTTTGGGTGTGTGTTGCACATGTGATTTATTTTCTTTTATTTATTTATAGGAAGGTGTCGCTCTTTAATTAGCCAAATACGGCCATCAAATCATCGTCCTCTCTCCTCTCTCTTCTCTCGTTCTCAGCCTCACTGTGTGCTGCTGGCGTCCAAAGAGAACTCTGCTCCGGTGAAGTTGGGGGGATTTGGAGTCGCCATCCAGCTCGGAGAGTCGGGACTGGTGGCAGGAGGTACAGTAAACACAACCGGACATGCCAGAAATAGTCATTGAAGTCAAACTGACATTTTCTCACTATTTACGTTAGGAAATATATGCTATTGTTCTCATTTTAAAATTGGATAGAACAGCTTTTGGGCATAGTTGTGGATAAGAAACAACATTCGGATGGGGTTAACATGACAGGGGCAAGTGGGGAAGGAAATGTTCATTGTGCTCCTCTGTAAAAGGGAGAAGAAAAAAGCTGGAGATTTGAGTTTTATATATTTATATACACAGACACAATATATATTTAGACGTCAAGAAAAGTACATTTCACGCTGCACTTTCAAAGCAGTAAAAATGAAGTTCTAGTTTTAAACCTGAATGTAAAGTTCAGAAGTAGGAAACAATAAAGCTTTGTTACTTCTTTTTGATATCCATATTAAGATGAGGAAACGAATAACTCTGATAAAGTGTACTTTATTTGTAAGGTAGTTCTTGGAAGTACCATTTTTACAGTAGCAATAGAAAGACGTGGCAGTGGTTCAGATTTCAAAGTTTCAAAGAAGGAAGCAAACTCTGAAAACACTTCCTGTTTTTAGTTGAAAAAAAGCTCTTGTCTTTGTGTGACCCCAGGTCGGGTAGGAACTCCCCACTTCATGGCCCCAGAGGTGGTGAAGAGAGAGCCGTATGGTAAGCCCGTGGACGTGTGGGGCTGCGGAGTCATCCTCTTCATCCTCCTCTCAGGGTGTCTGCCTTTCTACGGCACCAAGGAGCGACTGTTTGAAGCCATCTGCAAGGGCAAATACAAGGTCGGGAGTTTATTCCATCAAAACGTCTCAACCGCGTGGTTTCATGCACCCATTAACCACAAGCGTCCCCACCTTAAAAGGGGCAGCCTACACTTTAATTGGATTTGCATGTTATTTCTATACAGCTGAACAAGTCCTCTTTAAAGCTGAACAGCAGACATACACACTGAACTGATGGTGCCATCTATCCTAATAATAGTTATTTGTAGTGTAGGCATGTTCTCATGCACAGCTGGAAGCCCTACAGTCAAATAATACACATTTGGATGAAGTCAAAAGCTCTTAAAGCCTTTACAAGTGACAAAAATGGTGATTTGTTGTTGATTTCCTGCTTAGTTGTCTGTGTTTATATGCATTCACTTGTAATCGGAGCAGTATAGATTGTATTTTCAGTTTCCTCAAAGAAATATATCAGGTTTTTAAGAGAGGAGTTGATTGGTCTGTTTGCACATTATAAGGGACAATGCTTGTATTTATTTTTACCCATACTTCCTATCTGTGAAAAAAAACCCACTTTGCTTTCCAAGTAAGTGGCTGATATCCAGGAGTGATGCATCATTGTTAAACAGAAATCAGATGGAGAAAAGTAACATGAGCAGACAGGTTTATACAAGCTGTTTGTTTGCATGTGGTTTCACAGGCTAATCGTCTTTACTACACGTGAATACTCCCATGTCGGAAGAGACATGTAGAAGAGGTGTTTTTCCTGTCTGCTGACATTTTGGGAGTGCTTTCTTTTTTGTTTTTTTCAAATTATGCTAATGCTACAGAAATATAACCCAAGTTAGCCGTGTTTCCATCAACATTTTTTAACGCACAATTTGAAGTGTCGCGTTACAAAAGATTGATGGAAACGGAAAAATTCGAAAAAAAATCCTTAATTTCACAAAAAAGTTTTTTTGCTCACTTAAGGTGGTTTTTGCCTTTGTCAAAAAAGAGTAAATGCACTAAAAGGGAGATGGAAACACTTTTGCCGAATAAGTTTGGATGTAGCGAACTTCACGACTGATCAGCTGTTTCGGCTGCCGGAGTCTTGCCAGATATTCCCATTACACGCGGAGACATGGCTGTTTTTCTTTTTCGTTTACATGCTGTATCATTAAGTTAATTAATGCTGTATCATTAAGTTAGTTAATACCTACTGTAGTTAGTTAAAAACATGCAGAGCTGTGCAGTGCATGGAGCAGCAGCACAGGATGCAGGTGGACGACAAGAATTTGGTACTTGTTCGGAGCAGAAGATCATTATCAGACACTTTGTGCATCCCTGATAAGGCTGTATATATATACGTGTGTGTTTGTGTGTGTGTGTGTGTGTGTATAGATGAATCCGCGCCAGTGGGGTCTGATCTCAGAGAGCGCAAAGGATCTGGTGAGGCGCATGCTGATGCTGGACCCCGCTGAGAGGATCACCGTCTACGAGGCTCTTAACCACCCCTGGCTGAAGGTAATGCCGGGCATTAAGTAACACTTGACATGTTCATGTCATTTGTTCTTCAGTGTACTGGGTCGAATCTGAATTGACCTGTTAATACAACTATTTGGCTTTGTTTTTGTTTTTTTGTCTTTGAAAGCACCATCGCCAAAGAAGAATCTGTCACTCTCAAAACAAAAACAACGTGCTACTTATCATGTTTTTACCATCGCCTGCAGCACTTTTCCAGCCTGGACGTCTCTAAATCATGCATCCAAAGTTTTGGCTCTTGTGAAAGTTTTAGTCTGTTTTTGAGACAAGAATTGAATGGTAAAAACGATGTAGCCTAAAGCCGTCACGTACTGATCAGCCGCTCGGGTTGCGCAGCTCTTCACTCAGGAAAACAATGACAGGGAGTGCTGGCACAGTGGTGTTACTGCTTGTCATGTGTTGTCAGCAGAAGCTTTTATTGTGTCTTCGTCTGTGGACAGTGATGGAGGGGTACTTAAAGATGACTGTTTGACAATTCAACGGAGAGACTAGCAATTTGTCTGGGGGCTGTCTGACACGTCATTCAAATCATCCACTTTTAAGGGGCGTCCCTGCTTGGAATGCTGCATTTCAGTCTTTTTGTTTGAACTTGGGTGTAAAAGATTACTCTTTGTGTTGTTTAGTGTTCATTTCTTGGCCCTGATTATATACACCACATCACACTCATGTTCCTCTTCTCCTCTTAAATATACATAGCTACCAAGCACAAACATTTTAACCAAATCATGTCAATTGCAGTGCTCTGTTTACACACAAAGATGTGACTTAGGTACTTGTGGCAGTTTTAGTGAATTTGGACATATATTTTTAAACAAACACATGGTGAAACCCTCAGAGCAGCTTTCTGACACACAAACCGTGTGATGCAACTAATTAGCCAGAACCCGATTATTCCTACATTAAATTAAAGTATCTCAGACCCCAAACTATAATGTTTGTGGTTTGAGCTGTGTTCGGCTGTGTTGGTTAGTTTCATTTATTGGTCTGATCAGAAAGATCTTTCTATAAACATGCCCTCAGCTTCTCCACAAACACTTTGCAGTACAAAGCTGGAACAGAGCTTCGGTCTTGAATACACGCACTTGCGCCATTGACTTGGTTTCATGCTTGTTTACTGGTAAACTACTGGTAACGTTTAACCTTATGTTTACTTTCTGCAAGATGCATCACAATGCACCCAGCTGTAGTAATAACAGTTGAACTTTTACACTTCAAAGTCTGTCGGCTCCTCATCTCTGCTTGTGGCTAGTAGCATGACACACCCAAATCACATCAAACTGTGTGTGTTGCATTGTGGGTAATGTAGAAGATTGTGTGAAATTAAAAAAGACTGTCCAGTGCAAGTCTGATGAAGTTACCGGAATTCAATGCTAAATCAGTATCAGTATGGTAGAAACCGTGGCAGTAGGGGCAGAGATACCCTGACTTCTAGTCCATTTTGTTTGTATAGCCCTTTTAAAGGTACTCAAAGGCACTTTACATGGTAAAAAAAAAAAGAATAACAGAAATAGTAAAAGCAGTAACACTATAAAAAGAACTATAACACTGTAAAAATATCTGTGAAAGGAGGGGCACTAATGCATCACAGATTAAAAGCTGATTTAATAGGTGGGTTTTGAAAAATGGAAGTGAGGGAAAATGTCTAAGGTGGTGGGGAAGCAATGGAGAAAGCTTGGCAGGTGATGAGGACAATTTTTAACTGGATTCTTTGTAGAATGGGGAGCCAATGGAGCTGTGACCTCAGAGTTTTGGATGTATTGTAGTTTGTTGAGGATTTTGTTGGACGTGCAGCTGTTGCAGTAGTGGAGTTGTGAGAGGAGGAAGGAGTGGATGAGCGTTTCAGCAGCTGAGAAGAGGCGGAGGCGTGCAAAGATGAAAAAAGGGCAGGGTATTTGTCAAGTTCTAAAAACACTGGATCCACATTTCCCACAATGCAACAATAATATCTTTCAGTAGACCTTCCCTTCCCCGACATCCCCAGTTTGCATTGCAGCGTGTCTGTTATACATTTTAAAAGCCCGAGCTGAAATGACTTGACGAGACCTGACAAAGCCCTCTCCAGAGGAGACAAAGGGCTCTCCAGAGGAGCTCTGCTCACAGTTCACAGGCTGAGCAGAGCTCCTCATGACCAGTAAACCGATCTTCATGTGTGAAATAAGCGGAGTTCCCCTTTTAAGCCTTCGCTTGTGGTAAGCAATTTTCTTTTCTGTGTTGGATTTTTCAAGGAGAGGGACCGTTATGCCTACAAAATCCACCTGCCAGAGACTGTGGAACAGCTGAGAAAGTTCAATTCCAGGAGGAAGCTCAAGGTTTGCATCTATACACACTGGGCTTGGGTGGTATCTACTTTTTCATACCTTCATACCTATCAGACATTTCACCAGGGTATCAGACACTATATGACAGTTTTTGTATGTAAAAAAGCATGTAGCATGCATGACATCATCTAGCCTACAATGCTATGTGTCTAATATGCAGTTAGTCTCACTGGGTTTAATCCTTATGGCCTGTAGAATCTTGAACTGATAGGAAATAAGTAGGAAAGGTGAGCAGTGGAGGTCAGCAGGAAGTGTGCAGTGTAGATGAGTCTGTCAGTGAATGAAGGCAATCTGTGGTATATTTCATGGTATTGAAAGTCATGCCGGCTAGATTTCTAAATACCCGGGTATTCTGTGATAACTTGATACCACCCAAGCCTAACACATGCTTGCTTTATAAAAAATGTCAACATTTGTCGAGAAACCATCACTGTGTGACAGATGGTGAGATAAATCTTCATAGTTCCACATGTTGATGCTTCTCTGCTGCTGTTGTTGTATTTTCAGGGGGCTGTCCTGGCTGCAGTTTCCAGCCACAAGTTTAATTCCTTCTACGGAGACCCCCCTGAGGAACTCCATGACTTCTCTGAAGATCCCACGTCCTCAGGTACACTCAAGGACACCTCTGTCTTAATTTTAAAACCCTGTTTTTAAACAAAAACAGATGTTTAGATGAAGCCTCACTTTCATCATTGGGACACTTCCTTCCTCAGATTTCCTTCCTGTGGTGGGTTCTTCTTTTGTCTGCGCAGGCTGTTGTTACCGCAAGCTAACTCTGTTTTAGCTCCTCTCACACTTACCTCATGCAGAAATATGAACACAGGGATCTGCAGATTGTTTAGACATGCGCTTACTCTCCTCCTTATCTGATCATGAAGGTTAATAAACGCTGTAAAAGCAACACATGAAACTTCTGTTGATGTATGCTTGCAACCACTTTTTTATTTCGTCCTTCCAATAATATTCATATTATTATTATAAATATAATCTGCTTGTGTACAATTGCCTCCAGCTGTTTTTAACACCTGTGTTCACTTGCAAACTGTTGGTCTGTTTATTTGTTTGTCTGTTTCTATTAATGCTTCCCGCCTGTTAGGACTACTAGCAGCTGAACGTAGGTATCCCTGGGTTCTCTGTGTGTTGTGATGCTAGTTACTTGCCCTTAACTTGACCGACAGTTGTCTGTCAGTTTTTAGTAGCTTGCCTTTAATCTTCACATGCATAATAGGAACCACAGCGAGGCTAAATAAACAGTGTGTGGGTTGCAGGGGCTGTGTCTCAGGTGTTGGACAGTTTAGAGGAGATCCACGCCTTGACAGACTGCAGTGAAAAGGATCTAGATTTCCTTCACAGTGTTTTCCAGGACCAGCATCTGCACACACTGCTGGACGTAAGTGTCACACACAAACATAAACGCCAACACAAGTAAGCACACTGGAATATATCCACCTTTTTATGAGCCATTCATTTTGATTTTTATTATGATGTTATTTCTAATTTACTTAAAATTAATCAAACACAATAATGTTCAGTTCATAAAAGCAGCAGGAAGTGCTGTGTTTCATGTTCATGTCGCAGCAACTGCAGTTTCTTTAAAAAACACTAAATGGGTCGCATACTCGAAATAGCATAGACTCGTAACTACACAATGTTGGTGCAAAAGTGAGAAGTTTCATGCAGTGAGGCGGTGAAACAAGGAGAGGAGTTGGTCATTTAGATCTGATCTGTTGGGGTTACTTTTATCTATAACACAAAGTTCTGTGTATGTAAATGTAAATGCTCCGTACCTTTCTAGTCTTTTCGACCACTCAAAGCGCTTTTACACTACATCTGCATTCACCAGTCACACACATTCATACACTGAGCCTAAGTGCTCAAACGGAAATTAACAGTCAGCTCTACACAGCCGCACACATTTAACCTGCTGTGTCACAGCTCCCTGTGTTAATGGTTAATATTTGACTTCCTGGAAACGCGTTGGATAGTCACATAAAATAATAAGTGTTTCACTCTGTGTTAGCAGAAATGGTTTTGTTGCTGCATGTAAACATAACCAAATTGAACTAAATGTAGTCTTATTAAAGGGTATGTAGTGGCAGCCACTTGAGGGAATTTGACATCTTCTCCAACACGTAGTGGTGCAAAATATCTGGTCTGCCATGGCATGCGGATAACACTTTAGTTTAATCAGATTGAAATGACAAACAAAACTTTGTTGTTGCATGACTGATATAAAATGAGCTTGTACGTATGCAAAAACAATAAACAAGGTACTAATGGTGGCACATGACAAAATCCATCCCGAATATACACACACATGGACGTAGGGATGGGTATCACTACTCGATACCTTTATGGTATCGAGTGAAACAGCCCAGTCTCAGTAGAATCGAAACGTCTCCAGTCAAACCAGTACTTCAATTGATACTTTTTGTAACCACATCATCGCAATAAATGACTATTTGTATGGTTTTGCTTGCAGCCAAACCCGCAAGAAACACACTGAAAGAAAGAGAAGAGCATGCCTTTTTTCCCCTTGCCTGCACCATGAACTGTATAAAAAAAGGCTGCAGCGGCGAGTCCATGCTGACTTTAACAGCCGCTCACCTTCATCTGCGCTCTCAGGCGTGTTCGTCACTGTTTATCAAGTTTATCACCACAAGCTTGGCTTTCCGTTGGTTTCATCTTCTGGTATCATTTAACACTTCTCTGCACAGTTTTATTTGCTATTCACATCACTTGTCACTGATCGAAACGCATTTGTGGCGCAGCAGCGATCAGCTGATTTTACTCACAGAGCCTGCAGCTGCAGCTGCGGCTGCTTCAGGTGTAGTTGGTTACATCAGCTGGATGTGCAGCCTCTCTCTACCTCTGTCTGTGCGTCTTTAGTGTAGTTAAGTGACTTGTTTAAACAGACTGCTTTCTTGTTTTGTACTTGTATCTGTCGTTTTTTGGAGATTTGCGACTCACCAATAAAAGAAAAAGCAATCGCAGAGATCTTTCAATTCAGTTTGATCAAAAGTTAACAAAATAATTTCAGTTGTTTACTTTCAACATACGAATCAAAAAATTACCTTAAATTTGTTTCCTACAACTTATTTGGTCACTAAAATATTTCACTCCTCCTCTCAAATATAAAAAAATTGCAAGCTATAGTCATTCCCCATATAATAGCCCGTTTGGATGAACTAATTAGGATGAGGAGGATCTGATACAATTTCCAAATACTTTTATATAACAGTTATTTGAAACAAGAAAAAAATAAAATGGATAATCTTGCGTGTCCATAACAACAATAAAAATAATAATAGACTACCAAGGTATCAAACCCTATTGGTATCGGTATCACTTTAAGGGTACTGGTTTTGGTTCTGGTATCGTAAAATTTTAAACGATACCCAACCCTACATGTACTTATGCACAGTTGAAAAACTATGTAGCTTCCTCAGATCCTAATTCCCCACAGCTTTTCAAAATTGGCTACGACAGGGTAATTTCTGTATTTTTAAATGTGGACCTTATTCTCACACATGTTGGTGTTAAAATGATCAGTAGGTACAAAAAGTTTTGAATCCATGCAGTAGTTGCTTCAGCCAGCAGCTGAACTGGCTGCAGTGGCTGCAACGTATGCATTCAGGGTGAAAATTGCTTCTTTTTTGCCACCTACAGTTTTAGACTGGTTTACCAGGTGTCTGACAACATCATGGAGAGGATCCCAACAAAGGACTCCCAGTGTCACCCAAACTGAAGTCTCGCTCAAGCACTGTTCTCGCTCTGAAATCTCGTGAGAGAGGCGAGTTGTTGCAGGAAGACGACGGTGGAAACGAGGGAGAGGAGTTTGTTGAGGAGCTGCTAGCAAGATTTTATTTCCTAACGTTACTCCAACACAACAAACTCCTCTCTCCGACTCTGAATCTCGTTTCCACCGTTGTCTTCCTGCAACAACTGCCGCCTGAAGCCATCTTCTGCACGGGTTCAAAAGTTTTTGCCAAAATATGTGATATTAAGGCCAAGGTTAAAAAAACAGAAAATACCCATATATCTCTTAAGTATAATAAATTAAAATCAGCACAGATCTCTTCAAGCAAAACAACACGTGGTTGTCCAGTAAAAAGGCCAAAAACAGGCTTGCGGCCACACATGTCCACGAGGCACCTGTGAACCCCCTCCCCCTTAAGGAGAAATATTAAACATGTTGAGCGCTTTTGGAAAGTGTCTAGCGAGATGAATATGGCCCCCAGGCCAGTAGTTTGAGCGTCCTTAAGAATAAACAGCGCTCTAAATAAGATGTACATAAGATTTTGTCTGTGAGAAACACAAGCGTTGAACTGGACTGACAGCAGGTCTCAGCAGCAGTCTGTTGACCCACAGCTCAACAACTGATTCACCACATCACAACCATATTGGGTAACACATCCCACTTCACCCAGCAGCCTGCGGTGAGGCTAGACGGCATTTTAGATTAACACACGGTTTGTCTGAAACTCTGAGAGCAGCGTTTTGTCTTTTTGTATTGTTATTAGGCGTCTCGGTTTTCTGTTCCCTTAATCCACTGTGTTTACTCTGTCCTCTCTCTGTGTGTGCGTCTGTCTCTGGGTGTCAAACAGAAGATCTGTTGGCAGCACGTGGGAATTTACAAGAATGCGATCAACAATTGGGTAGTTTAAAGGCTAAGAACTCAGATCAGAATAGTGAATACTGGAAAACTGCAATTAACTTGATGTGTGTTCATATTCAGCAATAGTCTCTTTCTCTAAGGGGTTTGCATACTGTGTGTGTGTGTGTGTGTGTGTGTGTGTGTGTATATATATATATACACACACACACACAGAACATGTATAATAGTATATATATGTATATATATACATACATATACACACACACACACACACACACACACACACACACAGAACATGTATAATAGTATATATAATGTATATATATACATATATATATACATGTTCTGTGTGTGTGTGTGTGTGTGTGTATAGATGTATGTATATATATACATATATACTATTATACATGTTCTGTGTGTGTGTGTGTGTGTGTGTGTGTGTGTGTATATGTATGTATATATATACATTATATATACTATTATACATGTTCTGTGTGTGTGTGTGTGTGTGTGTGTGTATATGTATGTATATATATACATTATATATACTATTATACATGTTCTGTGTGTGTGTGTGTGTGTGTGTGTGTGTGTGTGTGTGTATATGTATGTATATATATATACATTATATATACTATTATACATGTTCTGTGTGTGTGTGTGTGTGTGTGTATGTATGTATATATACATATATACTATTACATGTGTGTGTGTGTGTGTGTGTGTATATATGTATATATATATACATTATATATACTATTATACATGTTCTGTGTGTGTGTGTGTGTGTGTGTGTGTGTGTGTATATGTATGTATATATATACATTATATACTATTATACATGTTCTGTGTGTGTGTGTGTGTGTGTGTATATGTATGTATATATATACATTATATACTATACATGTTCTGTGTGTGTGTGTGTGTGTGTGTGTGTGTGTGTGTATATGTATGTATATATATACATTATATATACTATTACATGTTCTGTGTGTGTGTGTGTGTGTGTGTGTGTATATGTATGTATATATATACATTATATACTATTATACATGTTCTGTGTGTGTGTGTGTGTAAATATATATAGAGAGAGAGAGAGAGAGAGAGAGATGTATCTCGTTACCATGGCACCTGTCAGCAGGTGGGATATATTGGATTGCAGGTGAACATTTTGTCCTCATGTTAGAAGCAGGAACAATGGGCAAGCATGAGGATTTGAGCAACTTTGACAAAGGTCAAACTGTGATGGACGACTGGGTCAGAACAGCGCAAAACAGTCTGCAGAGGTCAGTACCTATCAGAAGTGGTCCAAGGAAGGAAAAGCTGTGAACCAGCGACAGGGTCATGGGCGGCCAAGGTTTACTGATACATGTGGGGAGCAAAGGCTGGCCCGTGTGGACCCAACAGACGGGCTGCTGTAGGTCAAACTGCTGAAAAAGTTCATGCTGGTTCTGATAAAAAGGTGTCAGAACACACAGCGGAGTCCATGCCTCGACAGGTCATGGCTGTTTTGGCGGGAAAAGAGAGACCTGGCTGATCAGCTGAAAATCTCAATGTGAAGGTGGAGTACTCGCTGGACTTAAATTTCAGGGATGTGGCCCGCAAAGCAAATACAGGATTTTCCTTCTTCAGGTTTTGTCATTTACCCATTTTAATTTCTGTGTTCAAAATTTTTTGGTATCAAAAAAACAAGGGTTGTGCTATATAGAACTTATAATGCTTAGTACTGATAAAACAGTACTCTGTGGTAAACAGCTGTGAAATACATCTTC